AGCAGGAGGGGAGGAGAGAAGTGAAATACATGATGATAAAGAAATTGCAGGTTCCCAACCTTGGGTTTCCAGATGTTCTTGGACTACAACTCTTAGAAATCCTGGCCAGCACAACTTATGGTGAAGGTGTCTGGGAGTTACAGTCTAAGAACATTTAGGGGCCCAAGGTTGGGAACCATTGCGCTAAACCATGGCTTAATTCTGTTGCATTAGAAGGAACAGTTTCATCTTTGAGAGATGAACAAAAAGTGTTCTTGTTGCTTTTGGCTATCATTGTGTAATAAGAAAACTTGATGAGGAATTTAAAGCTAAACAAAAGCTCAGAGCAAGACAATTCATCACCATCAGATTCTCTGTGCTTTGTGGAAAATATGTCTGATATCCTTTTCCATTGAGGAACAAAGCAAATGAACAAAGACAAAAGAGTTGGCTTGTTGTTAAGAAACATGTAAACAACCACTTTAGTCCTTCAGATTGTTAAACAACAAATCTTTGTTTTGAGCAATTGTGCAAACATCACCATTTTGTGGCAAGAAACTTTATTTTAAAGTAAAATGTTATTCTTGTTAATCTGATAACTCGGAATGTCATGGAATTCCTAGTTGACAAAGAATTTTGCAAGTCCTTGTCCTTGTGTTTTAGGAAAAAACAAGCGAGGATTTATATTCCTGTTTAAAACTTTCTAGAATTCCCTTGAGTTTGAACATAACAAAAATCTGTCTGTTTAGAAGGAATACTTCTGTTCTTTTTGTGACTGCACTGAGAAAGAAAAAAGGGAAATGATGGAAGGCCTGGCCCTGAGACTTGTTGTTCTTTATGCTTATAATGTAAAAAAATAGTTTAATGTTACAGGTAAAGGGGGTTGGTTTGTCATGTGCTAATTCACTGACGTACTTGTTCAAACAACTTGCTTTAATCTCTCTCTCTCTTTCTCTTTAGGTGGTATATGAACAAGAAGGGGTTTTCATTCACTCTTCCAATGGAAATGATGATCAGGATTCTCTGTTATCTGGGATACTAAGGGTGATAGAAAAGGTATCCAATCAAAATGTTAGTATATGTCTTCTTTTCTACAAAGCTACTTTTTAGTTTCCTTCCTATAAAGAGGATGATGTCTTTTTGACAAGCATGCTTTTGATGTGCATTGAAGTAAATGCAGATTTTTTTTGGTAAATAGAAAAACAATATAATCTTCATGGTATTATTGAATAACTGATAATTTGTGTTGTAGGATACTGAAGTGGTTGTAGATTGGAGACCACTGGATGATTCCTTAGACTCTTCTAATATACTCTATGCTAGGAAGGTATGTTGATTACTTGCATTTGGAAATGTTTGGAAAATTGCTTTAAAAAGTTGAATGGAGTATCCATTTGATTCACAGAAGGTATGCTATCACTATATGGTAAACTATCAAGTGTAATCACAACTTTTGATTGTAGGTTATGTATAGTGCTTTAGGGCTTGTTGGGTCTGATCATAAAAGGGATGGTGTGCTTTTCCACTGTCATATGCAATGGACATAGACACAAAGTGACTTAGTTCATATGTATTGATAAGTCCAGGTCCTAGGAGACCCCTGTTCTTTTCATTTAGGAGTGGCATGATCATATTTGCGGAAGCAGAAGCAGCTAAATAAACTATGGGTTTCCTGACTGTGGTATGATTATCCAGAGTCATCAGCAATGTTTCTTGGTGGTGTATGATGATGGTTTATTGATGGGAGAGACAAGCCAAATTTTTCAGTTAGCAGACCACAAATATAACTGCAAACAAAAATCTCAAGTTCATGGACTATGCCAAGCATACTGTTATTTTGTTCCTGATATTTTCTTTCCATAAAAACAAAAAAAGAGAAGAACTGTCAAGGCAAGACTCTGGGGGTCTTGATCCTTTCACTGTGACATTCTGTGAAAGCTATAGCAATGACTTCTTTCCTTTGTGCCTAAGGCTACAGAGAACATATTGGACACAATTTTCAGCTGCCATGGTTTAGGCTTATTTTTAACCATGTATACCTGCACAATAAAAGTATACAGAAATGTTTGTTCTTGTTGCTGTAAGTCTGGCAGTGAGTGGGTCTGCAGGAAAGGAGAGTTTGCAGTGACTTGTCCCAACTGTCAGGCATAGTCAGAAAAGTATGAAAATGTGAGGAAGGAAGCTGTTCCTGCCTGTAGCATTGTGCTGGGAAAGGAGTGATGACCTAGACAGGTGAATGTTTGAGTACAGTAGCCCAAGTAATTATTCATGAAGCTTTCTTGTTTTCCTTTTGAAATAATACTTCTGCCATTTCTTTTGTACTGAGCTGTAAGCCACAACTTCCTGATCTTTTGATAGTCAGTACTCTTCAAAAGGCATTACAACTTGGTTCACTCTCTTCCCCAAATGTAATTTTGACAAAAGTGCAGTGTTTCTTTAACAAGATCACTCTATAGCGGGGGTCTCCAAACTTTTCACATGGAGGGCCACATAATAAATTTGTGATATTTTCGAAGGCCGAAGAAAGCAAGCGTATACCGATACACCCACCTGCATGCACGTACTCCCGCCCACTCACACGCATGCACGCACACACTCATGCCTGCATGCACAGACGGGTCAGATAAAAAGGCCAGGCAAGCTAAATGTGGCTCACGGGCTGAACTGTGCAGACCCCTGCTCTGCAGTTATGTTCAGTAAAAATGTCTTTAATGACTAGTTGTAAATTGGAGATAAAAACTGCATGTTAATGTAATTGATGTTACTTTGCTACCTTATTTTTAGGATTCTAGTTCAGTTGTTGAGTGGTCCCAGACTCCTAAAGAGAAAACTCTACGGGGGCCGGAACATATGAACAGTTATGAGGCTGAATGGGATATGGTCAACACAGTGTCTTTTACAAGGAAGCCACATTCAAATGGAGGTACAGTACATGTATAATACTTTGTACTAAAATATTTCAGCAGTACTTTTGTCAGTCTTTAAAATCTTACAAATAAACTAACTTTTGAGTCATGCAGGACTCTTCATCAAGCTGAGGATTACATTGTTGGGGGATTCAGAAGAAACAGTAAAAATCCTCAAATGATTCTGTATAACTCTTTCTGCATGTCCTTCCCCCAGTTCTGTAATACCTAGCCAGATGCAGAGTCTTGCAGGACTGGAATCCTAGCCCGTTTATGAAATTTTAGTGGCCTTACGAAGGTATTACCCACCCTGTTTTTTGGATTGTATATAAGGGCCACATGACTAATTTTTTTTGTTGATGTTTTATGTTACTGTAGTTACAACGCCTTGATACAGTTCAATGGTTGGCCTTATGCTTTGTAGAAGTCTCCTAAATCAATCCTTGGCATTTTCAAATGTTGCAATATATTTTGAGGAGTTGTTGCGGTGGAGTAACTAATTTATGCTTAGTCAGATTATAGGGAATTCTTTCTCTCAGTTGTGACAGGCAAGGGAGCTCATTTTCTCATGAGGAAATAAAATTTTATGTGGGTGTGGGTGGGCGGGTGTAGACCCACATAGCTCCCCCTACATATATAACAGGAGAGAAAAGGAGTAAATGAAGTATTTTAATGCAATATGTTAGAAAACAATGTAGCTGTTTGAACACTAGGGGGTAGGAGATTTTACTGTTATGCTGTTATGTGAGAGTGATTATGATTACATGGTACGTGATGTTTTTCTTAGCATTTCTGTAGGTGGACTAAGTATTTTATAATTTATATCTGAAGAAACCATCTGCTTAGGAATGGAGTTTGCATTTCATTTGGATACCTGTTTGTTGTACAGCACAGATCTCTAGTGAATTCATAGTCTCAAGAAAAATGTTATTCATTTTTTATTTTCTCGTTATGAAAACAGATGAACAATTTTAGATATGAAAGCTTAATACTAATTAATAAAGGTATTGTATTCACTCTTTTTCCAAAAAAAGAAAGAGCATTTTGACTTAGTCATAACCTCCCTAGCTTCTAAGTTTAAAAACTATGTAAAAACTGGCTTTGAGAGAGAGAGAGAGAGAATGAATGTGGTCTGAATTCAGTGTTCTGCCACTGGTTGCCACTGAACATCCTTTCCTTTCCTTCTGCAGCCTCCTATGCAATGCAAGAACAGAATCTGGAGAGTTTGCAAGGTCTGCAGACCTTGTTTGACAATCAAAGGGGAGGAGGCTGGTGTGTGTGCCTGACCCCATATGTTGTTCCTCTAGAATTGAACATTCTGCCAGCAGGCCCAGTTCTTGCTTGTGGAATTGAACATTCTGCCAGCAGGCCCAGTTATTACTTGTATGCATATACCACATTTTTTGCTCCATAAGAAACACCTGACCTTAAGACGCATCTAATTTTTAGAGGAGAAACACAGGGAAAATACATTCTGAACCAAATAGTGTAATAAAATATTTAATAAGCTATAACAGAATAACATTTGAACCATATAAAGTGAACAGCAGTCAACAGTGGCATTAATATAGACCATTATCAGCCAGTGATACTGTAAGACTTACACCACTCTACCTATATTTTACATTTCCTTTCATCCACCTCCTCCCCATGCTTATAGAAATGTCTCAATGACAGATGAGATTGTTGTGCAACTCTGCCCAGCTACAGCTCAAGCCTATATTAAGTTAGAAATGGTTTGTCTGATTTGGCACTGCATTGAGAGGTCCCTTTAGTTGTGTGGAGGATAAATAGTGGAATTAAACTATTTAACAGCTTGTTTGTTTGTTCAGTCGTTTAGTCGTGTCTGACTCTTCGTGACCCCATGGACCAGAGCACGCCAGGCCCCCTATCTTCCACCGCCTCCTGGAGTTGTGTCAAATTCATGTTGGTTGCTTCGATGACACTGTCCAACCATCTCATCCTCGGTCGTGCCCTTCTCCTCTTGCCTTCACACTTTCCCAACATC